CGCACAAGCTGACGTTTCGGCGGATTTCGCCTTCCTCAGAGCCGCTTTCTATGAGTCTTCCAGTGAGTATGACGCGTGAAAACCGACCGCACAGAATTCACATGGAAGCGGTTGGTCTTCACGCGACATACTCAGTGGAAGACTCATGGAAAGCGGCTCTGAGGAAGGCGAAATCCGCCGAAACGTCAGCTTGTGCGCAAATAAAGAAATAAAATAGCACCTCGTGCTTGCTGAACAGAAGTAGAAAGATATATTCAATCAGTGCCGAGGTTAATAGAAAGTCGGACTTGGGAGTCACCAATTTGATTTAAAAGTGGAGATATGGAGATGCGCAATTAGAGGGAGGGAAACCACAACACATCCTACGATACATGGGTGCCCCGCACTAACGAATGGCAAGAAATCACGACAACCACAGCAAGAACATTTTCCATTAAAATGGAAGTAATTCGGTTGGAAAAATTTTCTTGTCCTAGAACCCTGACAGCTGTGCTACGAATTCCACAAGTAGGAAGGATATCACAGTTACAAACAATATTACAATAAACTAAACCACTGGACTTTTTTTAAAGGACCACCGCACGGAGCTTGACTGACAATCCAATGTAATGGGATGACCCATTTTGTCGTCTTCATCCTAAAAGGAAAAATAATAAAAAAAAAGAAAAAAAAAAGCACAGAATGCTGACTATAGAGGCCATTCTGTACCATATAAGGAACACTCTCTATCTCATATTTTCACATAACTTTCTTGTTGGTGGTGAACTGTCCCAGATTTCCACATTAAATATTAGTTCACCTGTTTTTTCCATCGACATTAATTAGCATATATTTTCTATCAAATAGATTTGGTTGAAAAACAACTTCCCAGATCATCAAAGCTACAGGACCCCCTGTTTAGGTCAAAATGTACCACGCCGCCGTTAGCCAGCGCATCTTCATACAAATACCTGGCCTTTACTCGACCTAGCACCAAACGTCGCTCTCGATTCACCTAATAACACCACATCTTCGTTTTAATCTACGATCTTCATCAAGAATTTAGTTACTTACAGATTTCATCCTTAAATTCATGGTTTTTTGCCAATCTGTCTCAATTATAGTGGGTATATTACGTATACTGAAAAAGTCGCCTACTTACCACATTATGGACGGATTGTAGATGTTGGGTAAAAGAAAGTTTAAAATAAGTTGTTATGCCGCATATTCTCCAACCTGCGGTTGGAATAATGAAGAAGGAGGTTGGCAGTTAAACTTCACGCCCACTGGCACTCGTATGACTCCTTGACCCATCAATACTATTAACAGCTCAAATCCTACACGGCTGAAATAAACGACAACCACTTAAAGGAATCACAAAATCCAATTTTCGCGGATCTCATCAGCTCCGCTTACAGTAGAAATTCGACACTAATAAAAGTAATCTCTCAAGGAATGTCGAAGAGGATTCATCGTGTTTTTTAAAATAAATGTTGGTCCTAATCAATTGTTACTACTGTATCACTTTCACGCGTAACACACTGAAATAATGAAGCTCTCAAAGAATGTGGTTTAACGATCACCTCTAACACCTGTATCACATGTAGTCCCGTTGATCGTCGAGTGAATCAAGCGCGCCAGTAAATCTTCCATTTTTCCCTGTCGCGTGCATGAGTAGCCCAGTGGGTTCTGCTCGCTCTAGGGACTCGTCGAGCATCACGTCTTTCTTTAAGGCTCTTTGTGAAGAATTCTGACCATCGGGTCGGCGGTCATCCTGAAGTACGTCTGACATCCCGAGCAATTCAGTCACTAACGGCTCGTGCCCATCGGTTGTCGTTCATACGCATTACGTGACCGGCCTACCTTATCTTGGACAGTTTGGCGAACAGAACGGCATCTTTGACTTTCGATCGCTGACGCAGATCGGAGCTTCGGATCCCATCCCTTACCTATGTGGAACGGAATACTCCTAGCATGGTCCTTTCGACTGCGCGTTCGATGTCGGTGAATGATCTTCCATTCTGCTTACTCAGCGATCAGGTTTCCGACGCATACGTTAGGGCAGGAAGTATCGTTGAGCCGAAAAGGTGGGCACGGAGTCGGGTGTTCTTTGTTCTCTTCACTACATCCTCGATGCTCATGAAAGCTCCCCAAGCCTCTCGTTTCCTTCTATCCAGCTCTGGAGCTAAGTCGTTCAACATGTTGATTTCCCGACATAGACAGACATATCCGGACCACTTGGAAACTTCGCTCCACTGAGCGTGAAAGGGGCATACGAAACCAATTCGTTCCTCATGAGCATCCCTCTTGTGAGATTCAGTCAAGATCAATCTTTTCACAAGCTTTATCAAAGTCGACCAGCATTCGTTTCGCTTGGGTGATGTTTGGTGTTATAAGGACGATCTCATCAGCAAAGCCTGGTGTAATTGCCAACCATTGATTCCCACTCCCATATTACCCCATTCCAGCGTTCACATGACTATTTCGAAGGTGCCGGTAAATAACTTTGGCGACATGGTGTCGCCTTGCCTAACTCCTCATTTGACGTCGATGTTAATATCGTTGTAGAATGGTGACATCTTGGTTGCGAAACTTTTGCACAGCTCACGAAGAATCTCTATGTACTGGTTGCCTCATATGTACTCATATGGCTGCCTTTCGTCCAGTATTCTACCAATTCTGCTTAGCATGACACGATTGAAAAGTTTGTTGACGACAGACAGCAAGGAGATTGAGCGATAGTTGCCGATAAAGTGGAAGTCACCCTTCGTGGGCCATAGCACGGTCTTGCTGCTCTTCCACTGGGTAGGGACCTTGGATTCAGACAGATAACGTGTGAAGAGCCGAGCCAGTGTGTATACGAGAACTGGCGGAAGGTTCTTTAGGAGTTCAGATCCTATCCTATCCGGGCCTGGCGCTTTTCCACCGACTAAATGGCATTCCGGATTTCGGAAAAGAGAACCGTTGGTACAACATATCCATCCTTCTTTATTTCTTATGACGGAAGGTGGACGTGACTATCGAAGAGATATGGGTGATATTCGTGAACGATTTTCTCCATTGCCTTTATGGACGCTGTAACTGTTCCGCCTGGGAGTTGGAGCGCAACCATCTTGGCCTTGTAATTGGTGATGCATCGGTGGGCTTTGCGAATGCTTTTCCCAGCCTCTGCAGCTTCGACCATTACTGCTGCTCTTCTCTCTTTAAGATCTTCTTCTATCGCCTGTCTGCATTGTTTTGCAAGTTCGGATGTTAGTTCGTGGTTGCCTCCAGCTTGTCCGATTCCACGCTGGCGTATCAGTTCGAGTGCTTCTGGAGACAGACGTCTCTTGGTAACTTTCCAACTCTCAGCTTTCACAGCGCTAACGTAAAGATGTTGAATGAGCCTATTGTATTCTTCGTCGTTATCAACAATGGCATCTTCCCAACGGCCGACTAATGAATTGAATAAGTCCTAGTGTGTGGTGGTTCTGGGACTTCGGTTTTTGAATTTAGCGACTTTTTCTCCTTTCCGCGAGATATAGGATCTTGCACGAAGGAGAATCTGATCCCGTGCAGAATTTTGGGACAACAGCGAAATCGGTTAGGCAAAAACTTTGATTTACTATGATGTTGTCTATTTCGTTGTAGTACTCTCCACTGGGATATTCCCATGTCCAGCGTTGAGGGCGGGCCTCTGGAATTGCGAATTACCATGGATGGTCTTTGTCGTCATGATAAACTCGGAAAGGCGCTCGCGCTGCTCTTTCCATTCTAATCAGTGGATCCCAATTTGATGTTCTTCTTGGTTCAGTTTTGGCGCAAAAATCTCCAATGATGACCTTGAAAAATGTATGGTCTTCTCTGTAGAACTTCTCCAAGTTCATATAGAACGCTTCGACTTCTTCGTCATAGTTTGATGTCGGTACGTAAATGACGAAGGTACTGATTCACATTTTTTTAATCGTAAACGCCTGATTCGGGTTGTAAGTTGTTCGAATGAATCGATGTTCATAGACAAACTCGTGTTGACGAGAACGCCGACGCCGCCGACTCCTCTACTATCGCATGCTCCGAGGAACAGTTCTTCTCCGGTGTCATAGACGGCGTTGAATGTCGTCTCGTCTCGGCCAGACCGATGACGTTGTACGCTGTCCTTCTTGCTTGCAAGAGCAAGTCTTCTATAGAGGACTTGGATGCAAGGGTACGTGCACTGTAGGTACAGATCGTCACCTTAGTTCTTCATAATCCAGACAGTTTTCATTGGCCCTGAGATTTTAGCAGCCTCTCCGTACTCGTCCTACTCAACGCTTCCGAATTAGGGGCTCTTTCGTGGTCAGGAAAATGAGGCCCGTTTCTTTTACTGTGTTTAACTTTTGGAAACACACACATAGCTTGCTGGGATCCAAACGTGGAGGCTGGGTATACTCACGGGTATCTTGCCGGTCTCTTCCAGAGTGGACATGGATCTTTCTTGTTGGAGGCGACGCCTAACCGCCTCCCATATATTTCCCTATCACTTGATTACAGGCTTTTGGCCGGATTGACTCGTAGAATACAATCCGCATAAGCGAGAAAGCACCCTCACACGCATGAATACGCATAGCAAATACAGAAAGTATGGGCCAAATCGGCGCAGCAGAAACAGGAATCCATCCCCTGGATCCACCTGCGTCTCCGGGAAGCAAAGCTCGCTCTTGTTCCGCGATTAACCCCTATCCACCACCTGAAGATGTGCCACGCAGCCTCGCAACTAACTGGCTCGAGATCCCTTACATGAGGGAGATCCAGAGGGATTTTTGCGTTTACCGGTACAAAACTATCTTTAACTGGAGAAGCGGGTTAGTCGGTTGTGAAGAAGCTTATGCACGACACAGTAGACGAAAAGAAACATTTCAATACAATGTGTTTATAATGTTGTGCTTAAGCGAGGCTGATAAAGATATTCGGCGAACGTTTCAACGGTTTCCTCTTCATCAGTGTCGATGACCCGAGTCGACGGTCCACAGTTGTTCTTGTTCTCGAAGTGGGGTCTTCATCGAGCATCGAGGTGGATCGTCCTCAGTGGAGCATCTCTCTCGAGTGAGCCATACTCACCCGGTGATGCTCTTTTGTACAGAGCGGTTGTTGTTGATATTGTTACCCCTTAATAATGCAGTCGCTAGTGGAAAATAGACCTTCGAGTCAGTTGTCGGCACCGAATAGCCACTAGCTAGCTTCAAGCAGAATGCTCGACTTCGTGAAAAGACGCCACACGAGAGTCTTCGTAGTTGTCACAGGGCAACACCTCAAACCTGAGTAGTTAAACCGCTTATGTACATTAATGCAACACCAATACAACAGGAATAACAATAGGAAAATACTGGCATAAGAACAAGTGAATCCAAGATTATGAGGCGCTATAACTACTAATTAAGTGAAGCTAATAAGACCACAACAGTTTAAGATACTACTATAACATTAATACAATGACAATAGCAACTTGATAACAATGACAACCAAGGGCGTGCGGGTGATGGCGCCCACACTGTCGTGTACATTGGCCAAGATGCCGAGGGCTAGAAGAACACAGTGAGATGCACACGAGCCGTACATTAGACTAAACTATAGATCATATCTACAGTAGCTAGGTACATTTTGACATTGATCGATGAGGATAACAAGTTACCTAAGCATCGATGGTGGAACTGACTACGAACGAGATGAGACATTTGAGGAACACGATCAGCAGGCTAGTCTTGGATAACGATATCTCTGCAGCTTGAAGTTTGAGCATCGATGGGTACCATCGTTGCGTAAGAGAAAACTTGGGCCATAAATAATGCAACTGAGAACTGATAGCCTACTATAGCGGCATAACACACACAGCATAAGTTGGTTGGTTACCGGCCTTGTACACATGGTGTACAGTGTGGGAGGAATGGTACATGCTACCAATGGCATTGCAGACAGAACGCATTTGAGGATAGCCGCCGCTACTGACAACGCACTGCAGATCAATTGATAAGCAATGAACATTGACACGAGGATGAGGATCAGGATGGTGATGATGAGGATACATTGGGCTGATGAAAAGCGTGACGTAGTGACGGTGATGCTAAAGCAATGTACAATTCGCAACTATCATTTAACAATGATATGATAAAGTTAATGTACAATAATGACTGTGTGCTGTATGACTTAACAATTACGATAGCCTACATTGGTGACACACGAGATCAATACGGTACGGATCTAAAAAGCCGACGAACCTTCACAGAGGCGAACCTGAATAGTCGACGAACCTGGACAAGGGCGAACCCCTATATCAATTAACGAGGCTATTTATATGCTTCTGGAGAAGGCGGTATTTGGCACAGGTCCAGCATCTTTACCGAAATTATTCGTCGGGTACCGTTTCCAAATCCTCTCAAAACAAGAGATCAGCTGGCGGAAGACTGCTCTCGCAAACATCCTTATGCCCTTCTTGTTATTGTACGCATGACTTATGGACAGCAATAACAATGAGTTCAAATTGAAAAAATAGTTTGCATAACAAGGCTGTTTATAGAGATCGAAGTTTCTTAGGGTGCGATCAAAATATTTACGTACTACGACAATTGCTAGGCAAGTTGAGAAACAATGGATATGATCCTTACTACAGAAAAATACAGTAATAGAAAGATAGAAATAGATATAGAAAGAAATAGAAACTATTCTGGGAATAGTTGCTAAACTTGATAACAATTTGTTTTTCAACGGATAATCCACCCTGTAGCAGTCGGTATTATGTCATCTAGCACATAGTGAATAACAAGACAATAATTTTGAAAC